CGCCGCGACGCGGCCCGAGGCCCCGAGAGCAGGGAAGCCGGGCAGCCCCGGGACGCGGCGGAGCCCGGGGACAGCGGGGACGCCGCCCAGTCCGCCGGGTGAGCCGCCCTTGGGGAGAAACCCCCCACGCAGAGTGTGGCCCCACCGCGGTCGTCCCCAGTTCCTCCCCTCACAGACTTGAGTGTTGCCACTCTGACCACCCGCAGGGTCGTCCCGGGCGGCCCAGCGCGCCCCTCGCCCCGTGTCCCTTCCGTGAGCCTCCCTCGTAGTCGCTTCATTCCCCTCAATTCGCCCCCTCAGTGCGGGGCTCCCTTCTCCCCTCGGGGCTGCCTCCCTCCCCCAGTGCCTGCCTCGATGTCACCCCAGAACGGCCTCATCGCGCCCCTTGCCGCTTACCCTTTAACGCCCCACATCTGGCGCGCTCTGCATACCCACCTGTGACCCCGAAGTCCCCCTCAACAGGACTTCTCCACCGGGGAGCCCGGTGCCCGCGCGGTCGCCCCCCACGCACAGCACGTGCACCCGCAGCCCTCCCCAGCCCGTCAGTGCTGCTCTCTCGCAGGCCGGCCCGCGCGACCCCTTTGGTCTCTCCCTCCACAGAAACCTCCCACTGCTGCCCACACTTACACCCTCCCTGTCCTTGTTCCTGCTTCAGCATTGGTCATCCCACCTCACTCCCCACCCCAGTAGCCCTCGGCACCCCTTCCCTAAACATTGCTGCTTCTTCTAGGCATGAAGCTAAAATGCAGTGGTTAAGAGCACGGGCTCTGGAGCTTGACAGGCCTGACATTGCATCCCAGGTCCTCCGCTGACTGAGCCTTGCGATCCTGGGCAAGTTTCAAAGCTTCTCTGGGCCTCAAATTATTCATGTAAACGGGGATAGTAATAGTATCTTCCTCTTACCTACTTCTTAGGGCTGGTGTAAGGACTAAATATGTGTAAAGCTCTTAAAAGAATGTCTGGCAAGTAGTAAGCTCTCCATAAATGTTAACTGTTATTAACGTTATGGTGAAACACCACACATACCTACCTCACTTCTCACGACTGTGTTTTTCCTAGCTGCCTCTAATTCTTAGAATTCAACCTGTCCTGTCACCATTTTGATCCTCTCTCCCAGCTCTCTTCATGTCAGTTAGTTTTACCCAAGCCAAGGCTGAACTCTTCTTAACTCATCTCTCTCAATTCTGAGGGACCCTGTGTCTGTCTAATCACCCCTGACATGTGTGTGTATGGGGATGGGTGGGAGAGAAGGATTGCCAGCCACTGGCCTTCGTGGGAGTGGCTAAAGTGGGGAGAGCGACAGTAAAGTTTCCAGAAGCAGTCTATGTAAGAAAAAGGAGAAAAGAAGTCCCCCAAATTAGGTCTCCTTAAAACTGTGGTTTCTGATCACACTGTCCTTATTCTTTCTCTCTCTCTCATTGGTTGGATATGACTCTTAAGCTCCTGTTGCTCTCTATCACCCAGCCCCTCTCAACTGTTTTTGTAATAGGACTCAATCCCTGATAACTCTCTAGGCTAGCCCAGGGACCCTTCTGAGCTGTAGAACCACCTTGGCTAAGCTAGGAAGGAGAACTGGAACGTACAGACTCTGGACTCAGCTCTCTGGTTTTTCTCAGGTTCCAATGATGTGGTCTGCTCTGGGTTTACATTTTAGCTCCTGGCACAGTTGAGGTGAAAGTCAGGGGGTGGGGAATTTTTCTCAAGCAATGGAAAGGAGAGTCCTCAAGCTCTGGGTTTGGAAGCTAATAGAATGATTAGCTCCGTCTATCTTTCCCCTTGAATTCCCCCACCATAGTGTCGACTTGATTGCGAGTTAGTTAGTGCTGTTGGCTGTGATACTGGGTTTGATTGATGAGGAAGATTAACAGACTCATGAGTTTCCTCTTATCTGATGTTTCGTTGGAGCATGGGACTTTGGGGTTTTCTGTCCCTTCCTCACAGAATGAGCAGAGCTCTTACTGGCTGGCCAATTGCTCAGTCACAGGCTTGGGACTTCTTTCAGAGCAGGCCTGTTTTCAGCCTCCTGGGCTGTTTGGCCTCTTGTTGATGGGAGATTTGTTCCCTTCCAGCACTTGGGTATGCTGCTCCAGTTCTAAGCTTAGTTTGGGGAGGAAAATTTGAACACTCATTTCGGTATTCTAAGACAGGGAACAACTGTGAAGCTAAGGTATGGGACTCAGCTTGTGTTCTTCTTCTACAGGAGCTTTTTTTGGAGAACAAATCAGCCAGTGAGCAGGAGGTAAGAGAGATGGGGTGAGGAGGAAAATGGATTGATGACAGTTTTGAGGGGAGAAGTAACCCATCGATTTCTCTGTCTTACAGATAGTGGGGGAAGAGATTGTGAACTTTGCTGACCTCTGATGTGAGGAGCTCAGCCAGGGCTGAGGGTGGAGCCTGGCTTAATTTGCAGCCTGAAGCCATGGGCTGGGGGTCATGGTGACCTGAGACCAGTGGACTCTGTCCAGTTACCCCCTGCTGCCCCTTCTACCTCCCCTACCCTATGCTAAGGGGACTTATTTCCACCTCTTCAGGGAACTCACCCTGAGGGAATCCCTTTCCCCTATTTTCCTATCTTCTACCCTCCCAAGAGAGTCCCAACCTATAGAACTTCAACCTCCCATCCCCTGAGGTGGTCCCCATTCCTTCCTCCCTTCCCCCGCCATGCTCCAGCTGTGGAAGGTGGTACGCCCAGCCCGGCAGCTGGAACTGCACCGGCTCATACTGCTGCTGATCGCTTTCAGCTTGGGCTCCATGGGCTTCCTGGCCTACTATGTATCTATCAGCCCCAAGGCCAAGGAACCGTTGCCCCTGCCCTTGGGAGACTGCAGCAGTGGTGGGGCAGCTGGCCCTGGCGCTGCGCGGCTTCCAGTCCCACCCCGGCCCCCCAAGCCTCCAGAGACAGTTCGAACTGAACCCGTTGTCCTTGTGTTTGTGGAGAGTGCATACTCACAGCTGGGGCAGGAGATCGTGGCCATCCTAGAGTCTAGTCGTTTTCGTTATAGCACTGAGCTGGCACCTGGCCGAGGGGATATGCCCACACTGACTGATCATACCCATGGTCGCTATGTCTTGGTCATTTATGAGAACTTGCTCAAGTATGTCAACCTAGATGCCTGGAGTCGGGAACTGCTAGACCGGTACTGTGTGGAGTATGGTGTGGGCATCATTGGCTTTTTCCGAGCCCATGAGCACAGCCTACTGAGTGCCCAGCTAAAGGGCTTTCCCCTTTTTCTACACTCAAACTTGGGGCTCCAGGATTACCAAGTAAATCCTTCTGCCCCCCTACTGCATCTGACACGCCCCAGCCGCCTGGAGCCTGGGCCACTGCCTGGTGATGACTGGACCATCTTCCAATCGAATCATAGCACATATGAACCCGTGCTTCTTGCCAGCCTTCGGCCAGCTGAGCACCCTGTACCAGGATCAATGCCTCGTCGGGCCCGGCTTCCCACTGTGGTACAGGACCTGGGGCTTCATGATGGCATACAGCGGGTGCTGTTTGGCCATGGCCTTACCTTCTGGCTCCACAAACTTGTCTTCGTCGATGCTGTTGCGTACCTCACTGGCAAGCGCCTCTGCCTGGACCTTGACCGCTATATCTTGGTAGACATTGATGACATCTTTGTGGGCAAGGAAGGTACCCGCATGAAGGTGGCTGATGTTGAGGTCAGTCTTTTTTTTTCCTTAAATTTCTTTTCTTAGAAACTGTTCAAGACTAGACTGTCAGACTCCCTTCCTTGATTCCGATTTGTCATAAGTACACTCCTTGCCCTTTTCAGGCAGGAAGAATGATACTTCTCATATATCTCCTGCTCAGTCTGCTCTGTCCTGATTTCTCATGTCCCTGCTACTTTTCCCAGGCTCTGTTGACCACCCAGAACAAACTCAGGACCTTAGTCCCCAACTTCACCTTCAACTTGGGCTTCTCGGGCAAGTTTTATCATACTGGTGAGCCTATTTCCCTGCTCTTTCAGCATATCAGTATTAGTTTGATCTCTCCTTTCAGTGTGTATCTCCCTAGGCAGACAAGTTGGAGAAAGGGGGCAAGGTCAGACTGCTGTGAGGAGCTAGGGGTGGGTATGAATTTAGGTTAGCATGGGTGGCTGAAGGGCAAGTTGGCAGTGGGGCAAATAGAAATTTTTAGGTGGACAGGGTTCAGTAATGTCTTAGGGATGGAAGGTGGTCAGTGTTGTTACAAAACAAAGGAGGGCATAGGGGCTGACTGGCTGTGATCAGTGGTCAGTGTGTGGTCATAGGGACAGAGGAGGAGGATGCAGGGGATGACATGCTGCTGAAGCACCGCAAAGAGTTCTGGTGGTTCCCTCACATGTGGAGCCACATGCAGCCACACCTGTTCCACAATCGCTCTGTGCTGGCGGACCAGATGAGGCTCAACAAACAGTTTGCTCTGGTGAGAACCTTGAATCTCTTCCCCATACTTTCTCTCAGAGATTGTGCTTCCTTTTCAACCTTCCCCTTATGGGATACCCTTTCCCTACCCTTTCCGTTTTTCATTCTGTGGAGGCATCCCCACCCTTTTTACCCTCTACTCCCCAAACCTCACCAGGTCCTGGTGAGAGTCTATGCCATTCCCAGGAGCATGGGATTCCCACGGATCTGGGGTATGCTGTGGCCCCTCACCACTCGGGCGTGTACCCCATCCACACTCAGCTCTATGAGGCCTGGAAATCTGTGTGGGGCATCCAGGTGACCAGCACTGAGGAGTATCCCCATCTCCGCCCTGCCCGCTACCGCCGTGGCTTCATTCACAATGGCATTATGGTGAGGGACTCCCAATACACGCTTGAATCAAACTCCCACACATTTAGACAGCCTCCAACCTGCATTGACCTATGTCCTGTCAACTGCCAGTCCAAGTTCATCCACATAATAGGGGATAGAAGGGTGAAAAGTCATTATGCACATAAGAACTTTATCGCTATAACCTCAGAATGAGTCCTCTGTAAACCCAGGAAGTCCCAGTGCTTCAGGACTTTTGTCCATCATTTACTTCTCATTCTACCTTTCAAATCTCATTTATGTGTGTTTCTTTTCCCTTAGGTGCTGCCCCGACAGACTTGTGGTCTCTTCACTCACACAATCTTCTATAATGAGTATCCTGGAGGTTCTCGTGAACTAGACCGGAGCATCCGAGGTGGAGAGCTCTTTCTGACCGTGCTGCTTAATCCGGTAAGGTGCTGAGAGGGAGGGCTAGAAGATTGGAGAGCCAAAGTGTTTGTAGTCTGGGACCGTTACTCACCATGGCTGATTCTGAGATGGGGTAGGTTCTGCAAATCTGACATGCAGGCACCCCCTTGCAGATCAGCATCTTTATGACCCATCTGTCCAATTATGGAAATGACCGCCTGGGCCTGTACACCTTTGAGAGCCTGGTGCGCTTCCTCCAGTGCTGGACTCGACTACGACTACAGACCCTTCCTCCTGTTCCTCTTGCACGAAAGTACTTTGAACTTTTCCCTCAGGAGCGAAGCCCCCTTTGGCAGGTAAGGGTGGATCTCAGACTGAGCAGAGACATGATGGAGGCGGGAGCTTAAGAAAAGATTAGTCCTTATCTGATTCTTGGCCTTTCCTTCAGAATCCCTGTGATGACAAGAGACACAAAGATATCTGGTCCAAGGAAAAAACCTGTGATCGGCTCCCCAAGTTCCTCATTGTGGGACCCCAGAAGACAGGTGAATCATCCGTAGCTAACTTCTCTTGCCTTGCCTTAAACTCAAAAGATCCTTTTATTCATGCTGTTGAGCTGGCTTCTCTCACTATGGTCTGTTCTTTCTCTCCCATTTAGGGACCACAGCTATTCACTTCTTCCTGAGCCTGCACCCAGCTGTGACTAGCAGCTTCCCTAGCCCCAGCACTTTTGAGGAGATTCAGTTCTTCAATGGCCCTAATTATCACAAGGGTATTGACTGGTGAGACTGGGATCCCCTTGAATGCTTCTCAGAGGAACACCGCCTTCCCCCAAAATACCCCATTCCAGTTTCCACCAGCACAGAAGTCTGGCCCCAACACTGTGCAAATTTTTCTGTCTCTCTGTGCTACTTCCTAGGTACATGGACTTCTTCCCTGTCCCTTCCAATGCCAGCACTGACTTCTTATTTGAAAAAAGTGCCACCTACTTTGACTCAGAGGTTGTACCACGGCGGGGGGCTGCCCTCCTGCCACGAGCCAAAATCATCACTGTGCTCATCAACCCTGCTGATAGGGCCTACTCCTGGTACCAGGTCTGCCTGAAGCTAGGGATATATTGGGGCTTCAGGGGGGGTTGCGGGGAGATGGTGACTGCTAGAAAGACAGAAAGGAATGAGGGAATGGAAACTAAGCTAGTGCCTTGGGAGGAGATCCTATACTGTCACCAGACCAAGAATAAGGACAGGATAGTTCTGTCAGATCACCAGTCCTTTCTCTTCCTACTCCTTGTCCTTCAGCACCAGCGAGCACATGGAGACCCAGTTGCCCTGAACTATACCTTCTACCAGGTGATTTCAGCCTCCTCCCAGGCCCCTCTGGCACTTCGCTCCCTGCAGAACCGCTGTCTTGTCCCTGGCTACTATTCTACCCATCTACAACGCTGGCTGACTTACTACCCCTCTGGACAGGTACAATCCCCCAAGAGCCCTCAGTGGGGACTCCTTCCCTTCCTCTTCCCTTCAGCCCAGAAGCTTCTTAGGAATATAGAGGGAACCACATCCCTGTCCCTTTAGTTGCTGATTGTGGATGGGCAAGAGCTGCGTACCAACCCAGCAGCCTCAATGGAGAGCATCCAGAAGTTCTTGGGTATCACACCCTTTCTGAACTACACACGGACCCTCAGGTGGGATAGCATGACCCAGGGAAGGAGTATTCTAGGGGAAATGGGGAAGCAGGTTGACCATGTCTGTTTGGAAGAGACATGGATTTACCCTGTCTCAGAAGGAGAGACATGCTCCTGTGGGCTGGGAGGGGTAGTGTGCATTACAGGGCTTGAATTTCTCTTCTTCCTGCCATCTAATCACCTTTTCCCGTTGAGTAGGTTTGATGAAGATAAGGGATTTTGGTGCCAGGGACTTGAAGGTGGTAAGACTCGCTGTCTAGGCAAGAGCAAAGGCCGGAGGTACCCAGATATGGACACTGAGGTAAGTAAAGCCTGGGGCAGGGTATCCCTCTCCACTTCCAGGATCCAGTTCTGTGTCACCCTTCTTACCATTTCTGCCTTCATTTTTCTCCTGTCAGTCCCGCCTTTTCCTTATGGATTTTTTCCGGAACCATAATTTGGAGCTGTCAAAGCTGCTGAGCCGGCTTGGACAGCCAGTGCCCTCATGGCTTCAGGAAGAACTGCAGCATTCCAGTCTGGGCTGATGTCCCAGCCTCCCGTACCAGCAAAAAGCCCCCTGCTTCCCTAAGGGGCAAGCCCAGAACAGGGCCCATAAAGGAGATTAGAGTGGCCTGGCCCCTTCTACCTCAGTGGCCCCCAGGCCTGGGATGGCTGAGAAGGGAAGAGCATCCCTTTCACATAGCTCCGGGGCCTAATAAAAGGGCTTCCCTTGGTACCCCACATCATGGTACTAGGTACCTTTGACCCATGATCCTGGGAGGGGGGAAGGAGTGAGAGGGTCCAGGCAGGGTGTAGAAGAATGTATTAGTCCAGTGTTTTCCTTCTTTGTCCCCAGCAGTGTATCTTACTATCTATACCTGGCTATGGGAGGGGCCCCTCTAGTCAGGCACTGGGATCTACCTGTGGCCTGGCCTCCCTAATGTCATTCATATTGAATGGGGATGAGGCCGGACAGTGGCTCATAGAGCTGAGTATGAGCCCTAGCTGTGGGCTAGAAATGTCTTTAATAAACATCCTTATTTTTCTGTTTTGTCTGCCTCATTGGATTGTAGAAAACGTAGAATAAAGCAAGTGTTAGACATTTCCCCTCAGTTCAAGGTTCATCTGCACATGGAGGGAACGAAGGGAAAGGTCCAGGCAGACTAGAGTAAAAAAGGAGTTTATATATTTATAAATGCCAAATAAATACCAGAGGCCACCCAATGCCCCCTCCCAGACAGGGCTGTTTCCCCCAGCCCTAGGCTTCCAGGGTCTGAGACATCTTGGCCCCAAGCTACAGACCAAGAGCAGCTGTCAGTCTGGGCTACCAGGGAACTGAGTGGAGATGATCTGTCCAGCCAAGTTTCATTTCCCCTGTGTGAAGGGCCCCCGTAGCCACAGGCCTGTGTCCCTGTATAGGGCCCTAGGGGGTCCAGACTCAGGGGGAGAAGGTGGTCATCTCGAGTGAGACCCGCTGCCACAGCTCCTTGGTCTGTTTGCTGCGCTTGAGGTTCTGCAGGATGTCGTTGAATTGCATCATGCCCATGGGTGTCAGGCAGAAGGCGCTGCGGGCACTGCGGATCGCATTCACAAAGTCGTCGTAGTCGGCAGGGGTCAGGTGAATCAAGCGGTGGTGGATGTACTGGAGGAGGATGTGTGTAGGGCGAGCCTTAGTACAAAGCACAGACCCAGTCCCCTCCTCCCTTACATGCTGGCTGATCTGGTCCGTGACTGCCCAGGAGGCGCGCCACCCTGCTCCATACTTGCTGGGTTGTCACCTGCATGTAAGCCTGCTGGCAGCGCTGCACCAGTTGGTGGAAGGCCGGGGCACGCAGGTGGTTGTGGGCATGAGCGGGGCTCAGCCGCTGCAGCGTCTCCATGACGATCTCCTGCAGCACAAACGGGCTCAGCACCCCCTTGGCTGCCCCCACACAGAACTGGTGCACGTAGTTCACTCCTGGGGGGCAGGGGGAGGGGCATGAGACGGGGGTGGCCACCTCTGCCCTAGGGACCCAACTTAGGTATCTCAGCTCTGGCCTGGCAAAGAGCCTCCCTCTACCCCAGGAGCTGAGGTAACCCTCCACCCCCCGCGCACGCACACATACCCGACCAAGGCCTCAACTCTGAGCAAGAGCTAGGAAGGAGGTCTGGGATAGGAAGGTGAGGGAGCGGATGGGGGGGAACAATGGTCCTGGGGAGGGGAGGTGTTACCCAGCTTTGCTGCCAGCCCCAGCAACCATTTGACATCATCAGTGTAGGGGGGGCAGCGGGAGAAGTTGTTGGGGTGATCGTTGTGTGCCCGGCGACCCAGCATTTCCAGTGCCAGCATTCCTGAGAAGTAAGGGTCGGCACATGGTTAGGGGCATCTTTTTCACTCTACCCCAAACTGTTACCTGACTCCACGGTAAACAAATGAAGAGCTAATGGATAGGGTCTACTGAAGAACCTCTGGCACTGTTGCAGGTGTAAGTGCAGAAAGAGGCTGCCTCTTACCAACACGGTAGGCAGCGTGCAGATGGTGCAGGCTGTGTGGATTGACAGGTTGACTGTGCGTCTCTTCCTCGGGTGGTGGAAAACCCCCGCTCACCAGTGGGCTGGGCTGTGTGGTCAGGGCCGGCAGCGAGGCACCCTGGATGGCTGGAAATGTGGATGCTGGATGGACACTGCTCACTGAGGGTGGGATGAGATCCATGTGAGGAGCTCTGAGCCCAAAGAGGGACAGAGAAGATTCCCTCCCCACCTTCCCTGCCCAGTGTACCTCCCCTCCATTCACCTGCTCCCTGTCCCCACAACTCACAGGCCACACTGGTGGGCAGTGGGAGCCCTGGCTCTGTGTGGTAGGGATGTACTGTGATGGGTGCCATGGAAGGGACAGGAAAAGACACAGCAGTGGCAGCAAGTGAGGGAGGAGTCACCGAGTAAGGGTACTGAGCCCCCAGGAATGCAGGATGCACACCCTAGAGGTAGGGAGAAGAGAAGGAAGATACCAAATTATATTAGGATAGTTCTCCCCCTTTGCCCCACAAACAGGTATCCCTACATTTCTTAGTCAGCCTGGGTCCCCCAGACTCCCACCACCTCACCAGGACTCTTGGATAGCCCTACCATTACTGTCAGAATACCCCACTCCAATCCCCCATGAACTCCCAACGTTCTCCCACATGCCCCACTCCCCAGCAGAACACTGGTCTCACCTGTGGGTATGCAGAGCTGGGCACAGGGAAGACGGCAGGCCGGGGCATATGAGGCATGGGGTGGGCGGGGTGAGCTGGGTGTGTGAGGTACTGAGGGCTGCAGGGCAGGTGGGGCTGTAGAGCAGTGTAGGGGTGCAGGCCAGGGGAGTGACCATGCCCCAGTCCTGGACCCGGATATAAACTGGACCCCACTGAGATGACTGGCACCACTGTGGCTGCTGCTGTCACTGCTGCCGCTGCCACTGTAACTGGCTCAGTCCCTGGGCCTCCCCTGCCCTCAGGCAGCCCCCGCCCAGCCTCCCCAACTGCCCTGATCCCATTGGCACTACAGCTTGTAGCCCCTTCACGGGCTGTGGATGAGCCACCTGCTGTTTGCTCATATAGCCAGAACCACTGGTGAGCAACCTCAAACAACACTTCGGGGTACACGCCCCCACCCTTAGCCGCCTCTTCCACTGCCATGCAGGCCTTCTCCAACATCAGGTTATCCTGGAAGGGAGGGGCACAGAGTATTAAGGAGGAAGGGCTTTGCCCCAGGGATGATGTCAGATGACATTCTAATGTCTCCCTCAGAGTTGACTCATCCCGGGGAGGTATCAAAAGTCAGGGTCAGTGCTCAGAGTCAGTATCAGAGCAGTGAGTGCTTGTTAAGGAGGAAGGGCTTTGCCCCAGGGATGATGTCAGATGACATTCTAATGTCTCCCTCAGAGTTGACTCAACCCCGGGGAGGTATCAAAAGTCAGGGTCAGTGCTCAGAGTCAGTATCAGAGCAGTGAGTGCTTCACACAGACACTGAACAAATACTTGCTGACCAACAGGAGTCAAGACCCAGGTTACAGTCCCAGTTCCAAACTAATTTAACCACCCCCCTCCCACCCGAATCTCATCATCTCTCTGAGTCCTTCCCTAAGTCTTCCATCCTGGGTGATCATCTTAGTCCCTAAACTATAGGCCTCCATCTCCTTATCTATAAAATAGGAATAATCCTAACCTTAGAGTTGTCAGGTAAAGGAAATGATGCACGTGAAAGCACATTAACATGTAAAGTGTTACCATGAGAGGACAAACTGGATAGTTTGCACACTCCAGGATATGGGAATCAAGAGCTGGGCCTCAGCTTTCCCATGCCCAACCTCCCTGTCCAAATGCCCCAGAGCAGGTCCCCAGATTGCCTATAGAAATACCTGCTCCTTGCACTGCACCAGGGCCCGCTGGATCTCATTGGGGTTCAATGCATGGGCATGAGGCAGGCAGCTTAGGGCCAGTTCCGCCGCTGCCCTCACCATATTGGAGTCTCGTGCACGAGATGCCCTGTCAGCCAGGGATGCAACCTCAGGGGGTGTCAGGTGCCCATCCCAGCATTCTACCAGTATAGTCAGGGCTGCACTGCCAATCTCCATTGCCTGGCCTTTGGGAAAAGGAGAAAAGAGCAGAGTGGGGTTAGCGTGGGCACCACTGGGGCATGAGAATGATGTCTTTCCTGTCAGATCAATAATTCCACAAAGACAAGGCTCTTATCTCCACCAATTAATCCCCCTCCTGTACCCAGATCGGTACACTGGATTTACCTGTAATCCAGGAAACGTGGGAAGAATAGGTACGTGAGAGCCAGTTGGGAGAAACAAAGTTGTGCAGGCCAAGGGCATAAAGCCCAATCTCGAAGGCGCAAAGGTGCAGGTTGCGGTGAGGACCCTGGTGGCCCCCTGAGGAAGATGGATGTGTGAAAATTGAAGTGCTGCTGTTGCCCCCCGCCTTGATCAGCACTGTCTTCGCCAGCTCGAAGTAGAAGTGTGCAGCTGCCTCTGATGGCTGATTGGGTACATGGGGAGCATGACTCTCGGGGCGGCGGCCCTTGTACCTGAAGGGGCAATGGGTAGGGACGGGGGTTGGGGTTTCTTTGAAATGGGTGCCCAGGTAGGTTGGGAAAGGCCAGGGTAAGTGAGGACATTGGTGGACAATGATTGGATTCACACTAGAGATGTGTCTCAGGGTGGGCCAGATCAGGGACGATGCGTATTTCTTCCCACTGACCTGCCAACTTCAACTGTCTTCACCCGGGCCCCTCCACTGGCACTGGCCCGGCGACTTCCACTGGAGGACGAGGAACCCAGGGAGTCTGAGGAAGAGCTGCTAATGCTGTCACTGTCTTGTCCTCGACCCCAGGAGGTGGGGGCCCAGCCCCCTCGAAGGGGCCTCCGGCTTAAGGTGGGGGAGCTGTCCGATGTTGTCTCGGGGGCACTGCTGTCAATACTGGCCATGCCTAACCCCCCAAGACAAGTCAGTCTTAGAAGTTAGGAGTCCCAGAAGTCAGACTCCAACCTTCAGGAATATTCTTCCCTCCACACCATTCCATGGGCTGTCCTACCTGTGTGCTTCTTCTTAGGCCGCCCTGGGGAGCCCCAGCCCCGTCCATTGTAGCCTCCACGACTGCCAAGTGCCAGGCGGCTGGGAACCTTCCCCTCTGGCCTTGGGGTCAAGGCTGCCTCAGATGGGAGACCCTCACAGGGGGAATGTGGGGAACTCTCTAGGTAGGGAAAGTAGGATATTGGGATGAGCCCAGGAAAGGGTACCCCAACATGACTCCATACCATTCATCCCCCCTGCCCAGTGCCCCCACCTCACCAGGCACATTCTTCTCTGTGAAGCCCTCAGTTGGACCTGGCCCAGCCCCTGCCACACTCCCTGGCTGAGCAGGCCCTGCAGAGCCTGAGGTCAGTGGTTGAAGGGCCCCGGGGGCAGATGGGCCCCCGTGCTTTGAAGGAGACCTCTGGCTGGCTGTGGCTGGGCGGCTAGATGAGTAGAAAGAACTCAGTGTCTGCGGCTTGTGAGTCTGGCTCTCTCGGTCCAAGAGTTTGTC